CCAAATAGACTATATCTAAAATTAAAAATTCTACTAGAATTTTTGAGTTACTAAAACATTTTTTTATTAATCCTCATCCGATGATATTTTTCCATTGATTTTTTTCCCATTGATTTTTTTTTTTAGAGAGAGTGGAAGTGAGAGGGAGAGACAGAAAAACACCAATGTGAGAGAGACACGGGCCCTGACCAACCAGGGCAGGGGATCGAGCCTACAACTGAGATACATTCCCTTGACTGGAATCGAACCTGGAATTTACCCACTGAGCCAAATTGGCTAGAGCAATATGGTGGCCTTTAAAAGGCTAGAGTAGGGATAGTGCAGGCACCAGGTTTACTGAAGGTGGACACGGTGTAGGGTCCCATCCTGCCATCATCACAATGGAATGGCGATGGCTACCATTAGCACATCCTCCACCCATCTGGGTGTTTCATGGGTCACATCCAGGCCCTCTGGGTGGCACAACTCCAGGGCATGTTCACATAGTGAATGGACAATGCAGGGAGGAGTGAGATTCCCACAGACTCCCACCACTGCACCCTAGAGCTCTGCATTGCCAGGACCCTGGTCCTGTTTTGGTGATAGTCCCTACAGGGCTGCGCCATAACCTCCACGTGTGTGTCTGTTTGCCATCTTTCCAGACTCCACGCTTACTAAACTTTGATCCTCAGTGCCTAGTACAGTGCCTGGCACACAATTGGGTCTCCAAAGTGCTGGCTAATTGAATGAATAAACATGTCTGCAGGAGCTGGTGGGCCTCCGAAGGTGGTGGTGGTGTGTGTGTGTGTAAATGTCAGGCGTTAGGGCTGGCCTTGTGTGGGGCTGCTGCCCAAAGGCTCAGCTGGGCAGGCGGAGAGGTGCCCCGCAGGCAGACCTCCTGTCTTCTTTCCTCTACCCACTGCCTCCTAAGGCCTCTCTCTGCTGTCTCCTCTCGCTCTGACTTTATGTAGGACTCACTGTCCTCTCCTGAACTCCCTCCCACCCGCAGTGTGAGGGGCCTTTCCCCAAATATTCTGGGGAATAACTGTCTCCATCTCACACAAGGGCGAGGGGATGTGTGAGATGGAGACAGTTATTCCCCAGAATATTCCTCCCAGGGAAGGTGGCATCTGCAGGTCAGCCATTGACTTGTGTGTGGTTCGAAAGGGTCTGGCTGAACCCCAAAGTGATAGTTTAGAAAAATTGTGACTGGCTATTAATGATTAAAGAAACTAATTGTATATGTGTGTGTGGGAGGAGGGGAGGGGTGCAAGGTGAATGGGGTGGGGAAAGGAAATTAAATGGACAACAAAAGCCAGACAGAATACCATTTTATTCATTTATTCATTTTCTTCCATTTATTTATATAACACATTTTAGACAGGCTCAGGACTCGCAACCTCTGTGAGGTGAAGAAATTCTCTGAGACGCTGAGGGAAGTAGACTCCTCTCACAGAAGCACCCTTACGTGCACCGAAGTCGTGCATGCCATTTAGGGCTTCACCAGTTGCCTGAGACTCCAAGTTCCTTGGCTCTTTGTCTGCAGGGGCGGAGAAGGGAGGATATCCTAGAGGTATCTGACTTCTTGAAAGACTATTACCACATTATAATTACTTTCCCCCTCAAAAGCTAATTAAAGCGCCCACAAAGCATTGAAATTTACTGAGTTGGGTTGAGTCACAATGCATAGAAGAATCTGTTGCCAGAAGCACATGAATGCCAGGTGAAGATTAGAAAAACCTTATAAGAAAGATAAAAGGCTTAGTTTTCACTTTGAACTTGAAAAATATCCATCCTGCACAGAAGCAAGTGGCCAAAGCTAAATGTGACAAAAACAACCGACAGGGGTCAGAACTAGAGTCACAGGCAGCTGGAGCTGGGGGTGCAGGAGGGGGGTGGAAAGTGTGTAATGCATTTACCCTGTGGCATTTTTGTCCATTTATTCCATAATTCCGTCATATTTTCTTATTCTAAACCTAAATGCCCTCTTTATCATCATTTGACAGGGAAAGGCCGTGCACAATACCCATGCCAGAGGCCACGAACCCCCGTGTGACTGCAGGGGAGGCAGAGGTTAGGCAGCCGCAAGGTGGGAAGGGAGGCCAGGGAAGCTGAGAGGTCTTTCTCTAGGAGCCGGTTTCCACCCTGAGGTTTCAGGGTCCTCACCCTCCCAGGCACTGGCTGTGAGCGAGCACCTTCTCACAGAGGCCGGTTCCCTGGGGTCTGCCGACTTGTTTTTCTCGACCATCAGTAACCCCTTGACTCGCCAGGGGTTTTGCATGCAAATGTTCTGGATTAATAAATGTCAGTCCTTTACATCCCCGTGTCCCGTGCCTTTGAACAGAAATTCCAAAGTTTACTATATGTTGGACCTTACTTACCTGAATGGACTATTTTGTTTGGGGGCCCGAGGAGTGGCTATTATCACTTCGGGAGGCGGCGCTGGTGGGCTCAGAGCAGTTCCAGGCGCTGGCCTGCTTTCCCGTTGGCCTCCTCCTCACAGATCACAAATGTGCGTCTGCAGACCTGAGGCGGTTTAATGTGGCTGCTTTCTTCAAAATGAACATGTTACATGCAGAAGCCATCTTTTCATACAATGCACAACACTTCCTTTTTTTGTTTGTATTTTTAATTTAAGTGTTTTATTGTTGACACTATTGCAGAT